AGAGCGGTGGTTTGTTGGTATTTGTCCACTGTGACTTTAAATTTTATACCAGCTTCGTCTCCTAATCACTGGCTATACTTCACGCATTTAGGTAACTGTTAACTGCGTCTGAACAAGGTCTGAACTGTAGTAAAGCAACAGCTCTAATCTAGCTGAGGTTCAGAAGCTTAAAACTAACCCAGAGACTTTAAATTTCACCCCGATACTGATCACCTAGAAATTTTCTGCCACTCTTAGAGGTGCAGAATAGGGTAATTTATCAGATGTTGGTAACCTGGATCAAGCCATCTACACAGCTGCAGTTAAACAAACAAACAAACAAAAACCCACCAAAAAGCTATTTTCAAAATGTTCTTTCTCCTGGTTTTCCTCCCACCTTGGCAGAAAATGGTCCGTTCTAAATAAACAGATCTAAAGAACTCTGAATTTTTCATCTCCTAGGCCATAATAGTTTTGGGCCACTGGGGAGACATACCAGGAAGCAAGGAAACACTTGAGAACACCTGTGTTGGCGTGAGGTACAATGACACACCTAAGTGGGTAATGTAAGTAAGTATGACATAAGTAGATTTTTCCTCTGGGTTTCCAAGCAGTCAATTATTGCAGTAGCTGTAATATGGTTGTAGGCTGTCCCTGAATAGGAATCATGAATAGGAATCATGTTCATCTGTTGAGCTGCAACCTCTCTTTTAACAACTTTCCTGGGAATAAACATTGTACCTTGTTCTTTCAAAATTGTATTCTCGCGAGACTGAAGCATCTATTTTAGGAATAACAATTAAAGCCCACAGTCAAAATAAGATTTTAGTTTTAACTTAGAAAGGCTGTCAACTAAGTTACAGCTAATTAGAGTGTACTGTGTTTGCGTGGCAAGGTTTTGGCGGGGGCTCCAGGGGTGGCTTCTGTGAGAAGTGGCTGGAAGCTTCCCCCATGTCTGACAGAGCCAATGCCAGCCGGCTCCAAAATGGACCCACCGCTGGCCAAGGCCAAGCCCATCAGCAACGGTGTCAGCGCCTCTGGGATAACAGAGGTAAGAAGCATCTGGAGAGAGGAGTGAGAATATGTGAGAGAAACAGCTCTGCAGACCCCCAGGTCAGAGCAGAAGGAGGGGCAGGAGGTGCTCCAGGCGCTGGAGCAGAGACTCCCCGACAGCCCCTGGGGAGGAGCCCATGCCGGAGCAGGGGGACACCCACAGGAGCCTGTGAACCCGAGGGAAGGCCACGCTGGAGCAGGCTCCTGGCAGGACCTGTGGAGAGAGGAGCCCAGGCTGGAGCAGGTTTGCTGGCAGGACTTGTGACTCCATGGGGGACCCATGCTGGAGCAGTTAGTGAAGGACTCAATTTAGAGAAGTCCATGGAGGACTGTCTCCCATGGGAGGGACCCCACGCTGGAGCAGGCGAAGAGTGTGAAGAGTCCTCCCCCTGAGGAGGAAGGAGCGGCAGAGACATGTGATGAACTGACCACAGCCCCCATTCCCCATTCCCCTGTGCCGCTCGCAGGTAGGGAGGAGGTAGAAAAGTGGGAGTGAAGTGGAGCCCAGGAAGAAGGGAGGGGTGGGGGGCAGGTGTTTTAAGATTTGGGTTTAGGTCTCATTATCCTACCCTGATTTTTATTAGCAATAAATTAATTTCCCAAAGTCAAGTCTGTTTTGCCTGTGATGGTAATCGGTGAATGATCGCTCCCTGTCTTTATCTCAACCCCTGAGGTTTTCATTATTATTTTCTCTGCCCCTCCAGCTGAGAAGGGGAGTGACAAAGCAGCTTTGGTCGGCACCTGGTGTGCAGTCAGGGTCAACCCACCACACAGAGGAAAGGTGAATGACTCCAACAGGCAGTTAGAGAAACATCATCATTATTCGTATTCTTCACTAGGCCTGAATATAATAAAAGGAAAACCTCTCTTTTGGAAGTGAGTGCTGCTACAGCAGGTAAGCCCAGCGAGAAAGTCAGGGTGAGGGACTGGAACAATGACAAACATGTCATTTCACTGCTGCTTTTTGAAAAGGTAGCCAAAATTTTTCAGAGGATTTTTTTTTTAAACGGCTGTCACTCAGAGGGCAATACTTTTCATTCCTCCTCTGGATATGAGGAAGGTATCAAGAAACCTTGTAAGTTGGAGTTGCTGCGTTTCTGTTTGTGGTGGTATTTGCAAATATAAACTTGCCTGTTGCTACATAAATGCTCCTAAAACCCACAAGTATCCTCTGCAACATTTTATATGCTGGTTTATGTCAGAAGAATACAGAACAAACTTAAATTCATCAGTTTTCAGTAAGTGCATGGTCCTTCAGCAGCACAGACTCCTCTGTCTTAACTGCACTGAAGTACCTGTTTGATCTCTCACTATACAAACATATGCTAAATACTCCACTGTAATTCTTCAACTTTTGGAATACTTCACCATAAAGTAGTGGAGAATTAGGAGCAAATCTGAGCACTTGACTTTGAGTATGCCTGTGACTGAGTGTGCCTGTCAAAGTTCCAACTGTAAGAGGTTTCCAGTCCAGGCAGATGCTACCTACTCATCTCCACATTCATACAAAGAGATGATGCACAACAGGCCAACAACAGTCTACACTGAATCTGTATGTTCAAATGGACCTTTAAGTATTTAGCAATAAACAACTGTTTAAACCCAAATTATTCTGGTCTTCCATTACAGAACACCAGGTAAACCAGGTGCCTGCATTTATTGCAGGTGCCAGGTGGGACATGCAGCTGGGGAACCATAGCTCCAGGAATTGACTCCAGTAATGCCAGTCATTTTTTAAGGGCTATTCCAGTGGATCAAAGGGGAACTAAGAAAACTTACGACTGTCCAGTTTGTAAAACCAAAAGTAGAGTGCCAACCTACTTACCTATGTTTGGACTTTCAATCAGAAAAGCCAGGGGAAGCCAGCGAAATGGGTTCTGGCAGGAGTAGCTTTCCTCTTGGCAGTTTAGTACTAAGCTTTCAATAGTATGTGCTGCTTTCTCAATCTGCCTTGTAGTTAAAGCAAAAGGAGATAGATAATATTTTTCAGAGTCAGCTGGAGCAGGAGATTTGCCTCACAAAAACACAATCCTTAGTGTAACACTTATGTGCTCTATGTTGTTATTTTCTCATCCATCAGTGCTATGTTCATGTTTCTCCACATAATAATTATCGATCTGCAAGCATTCCTTCATTACACCAACTAGGGAAAAGTAAATGGGAAACATAAGCATCTGGCTGTAGTTTAACTCAAAATACTCCTCTTGATTGTTCTTTATTGTCTCTACATAAAATGAAACATGTATCTTACAAGAATTTTAACATAATCATACTGCAATACAAACATGTTGCATTTAAACAAGGTTGGTTGAAAGCTTGGTTGTATATATGAAAAAATATCTAAGTATGAACTGTATGTAAAAAAAGTAATTCTGAACTTTGTGATTTAAACCAGTTAACCAGTTATGACTGCTGTAACGTAGTTGGTTCAGGCAGCAGGTGCATTACACAAAAACTGCTGGTAAGCAATTCTTTTTCTTTACTGGGATAATGTTTAATTTTTTTTTTTTTTTTTTTTTTTTTTTTCACAAAACACTCTTCCATTTTCATGTTTCAGTGATTAATTGCACTTTGGAATAAAAAAAAAAAAATCATCTTCCCCGTGGTAGGTTACATCAGCTTTGGCTGGATTATAATTGCATTCAGATGGAAGTACCCTTCTCTTCTTTGCATGGGACAAGTTCCATAAACTACAGGTGGAGTAATAGGTTCAGAAAGCAAGGGTTGGAAAACCAGATCTTTACGGTCAAGTTGGAACACATGGGGTTTTTTGTTTCTTTAGAGATGGGGTATGCTTTGCAGGTAGCTGTTAAACACCCTTTCTGCAAACTTGCACAATTATATAAATAAAAATATTGCTCAATTTGACCAAGTTCTCCATCATGTGGTTGTGTAGCTCTATTAAAAATTAACCATTCAAGAGTGCCATTTCACTTACTTAATGTATAGGTCTGTGCATGTAGATTTCTCTACCAAAACATTTTCCTGAGAGGTCTTTTGCATGAGACCACATCAATCAAAAAGTTGGCAATACAGAACTGCATATACTATACTCTACAATTCTATCTTATATAAAACAGAGTAATAACCTTCTGAAGTCAAAATTTGTCAACATATTAACCAGTTGCAGGCACAGCTTGAGTTCAGTGTTCTCAATTGTCATCCGCCAGTTGTTTTTGTAAACTAGAAGACATGTGAGAAGACAGTGTTAGTGCTTTTTAGGAAATTCAGTTCCCCATAAACAGACAATTTCCTTGCTGAAGATGACAATTTCCAAAACAGCACTTCTATATGCCTGAAGCAATCAATACTGATTTCAAAACAGGGAAAAGCATTTCAATTTCTTAAGCAAATTAGTTGTTTACACAGACAGGATAACTGACTTTTATGCAGCTGATTTCAGCCTAGGAGAAATCTCAAGCCCAAGAGACTTCTTTTGCATAGGCCAGGATCTGCCCCAGGCCACAAAAGTCAAGTATTATTTAAAGGGCTACAACAGTTTGAAAAGGAACAGCTGCCGGGCACGGCCCTCACCTTTCCAGGTACTCCTTGACGTTGTCATAGCCATAGAACTTGGCCAAGTGGATGAGCATGCCCGTGGCACAGCGCCCATCCCGCCGGCGGCAGTAGCTGCAGTTGCACACCCCACGACAAGGAGGACAGATCCAGGCCTGCAAGGGGGTGAATGTGGGAGGGGAGATAAAGGCAAGCCCTGAATAAGGTTATATTTGCCTTCTGTCATCTTCCAAACAGACAGGTATTGCTTCCTTACTGCATGATTGTTCAGGGCAAGGTTTTAAAAGCCTCCATTAAGCCTTGTTAACACTTTCCAAATTCTGCAGGATTAAATAAGTGATTAAGTACTACCCTGTTTTGCTTGAATACTTCTTACTCTGAAGACTCAGGCTCTCTGATTTGTTCGGTATTTATTTAAAACAGACTAAAGGCATCTGTAACGCCTAATGATAACTCATCCTGTATTACGCTGACCATAGGGAACTCCCTAGAAAAAGATGTGTACCCACTGTGACAATTTTCTTTGTCTCTGCCTGCTGGCATAGCCCTATTCCTGAGACTGAATACCCAGTACATACATGAAGTCGGGCATCTCTCAGCTGCTCAGCAACTGAACACAGAAGCACAGGTGCCAACAGCCTGCGTTACAGTATAGCAGCCACTGCCATGCTGGGCCAGCACATTGGAGCCGTTAGTTCTTCACTGTCCTTCAAAGAGCCCAGAAGCCCATTTCTAAAGCAGAGGTAGTAGAGAGGAGGTCCCAGAACAAGCTGAGCACAAAGAGGGCTGTTTCTGCTGAGAGGTCTTTGTGCAGCCACATGCCTCACTCTGGCAGCAGCCTGTGCTCTCTCCTTGCTCAGTGCCTCAGGGAACAGAGGAAAGGGAACAAACCCTAAGACTTTTAGGTATCCTTCTCCTTTTTCCTCCTATTTAAAAATTAGAATCTAAAACAAGGAACCTGCTTTGCATGCCACATTACTGACAACAGCATTTAAAAAGGGTACATTTTGGCATTTTTCTGAAAGGGGACAGGTTGTTTTTCTTAAAAGCTCTCATGCTTTCCCTCCACTATCTGGTAAGCAAGTGGAACTTCAAAGCACGAAGCTGGACGGATTGTAACCCAGGTCTAGCACCTTCCACTTGAGTTCCAACACGATCAGTGTCAGTCATAACAGTACTACAGATCTTCTCATGGCAAAAAGCTTTGAACACCATGTTATCATGAGCATATACTCATCACAGCTTACTAACAAAACCATATTCATTACACTCGCTTTCCAAGCCCAAAACATGACACTTACTGGATCAAGCAGTGCTGATTTCACATCTTCCCCATACCGATTTCGAAGACATGGTCCACAAAACTGCCCCCTTACTCCTCCACAGCCCTGGTTGCGACAGATTGTCTTTGTATCAATTGTCTTCTGTCGACACTGGTGGCAAGTACTACCCTGAAGTTGGAAAGGAAGAGAAATATGTATGTATGAAGGACATGTTAAATGCTTGTTGCTGAACTTTCCTAATATTATCTGCTGATAGCAAAGCACAAATTTCAAACCAAAGTCAAATTCAGCTATGAAAAATCTTAGTAAGAACCGTAATTTCTGTTATTATGATAAATCATAGTTATCTGGAGAGATGCTAGGGATTTTACAGAGACAGTGCCCAGCCTCAGTTGCACTGGGAGTCTCAAACTACATGAACATCATGTCGCAGTTCTGATCATTTCCTCTACCTAGGAAAAAGCTAAAACTATTCAGAAAATGACCTTCTGAGTTATCTCTGCAAATACAATGAAGCATGAAACGTACAGCAAGCTGATCATCTAGATCTTTATGACAATCAGTAATAGTCAAATCCAGTGAAGGAAAGGAGTTCCATCAAGAGCTTTGGAAACTACCCAACCCATACAGAAATGTCATTTCCAGGGGGTACAAGGAGCAGCAGGGATCACTATTATTTAATGGTACAAGCAACACCACCACAACATTTATATTGAGAATGAGAGATAAAAGGGATGTCAGTTCTTATCAGTGGTGAGTCATAGCTATAGTAAATTCCACTTAATAGCTCTGTGGCAAGAAAGCACCTCTTTGCAGAAGCAAAAAGCTGGTGGGGCCTATCAACCAGCATGGGCAAGCCCATGGAAGCCTGGCAAAGCTTCCAAGTCATGCTTGTGTAATATAATGCAAAGTTGCACTCTCCAGAACCTCAGGAAAGCATACCTTTTACCAAACACCAGATGAACTGGTTAGAAGACTTTCAATTTCAAGCAAATGAACACACTGAAGAAAACAGCAGACACTTACTAGAACTTTGTCATAGATTTTGTCTTTAACAGTGATTGCAATGTTGTCCAAGTCCTCCTCAGTAATATCTTCTACTGGACGGTGAGATGTATACTTTGATGATCTCCTCCTTTTACGCACTCCACAATCCCCCTGCTAAACAAACTCATCTCAACACCTTTTGTTTCGTGTCATGAAGACTCTGTCACCACACTTGGTGACAAATTCTTTCATTTGTAATGCGTATGCAGTTTAGAGGCAGCGGACTACAACCTCATGGACCACTGGAAGAACAAGAGAATAGTTTCCAAATTATCAGTGCCTTTCTCTCTCCTTCACCTTCCTAATCTTTTCTCTACTCCATTATTTATTCTGTTTATACGTTCTTCCTTCCCATTATTGCTATTTCTATTTCCACAAATTCCTAACATGTTTTTCTGCTACCTCCTTTTCTTTGCATTCCCTGCACACCTCCACCGTAACTCTTCATACTCCATTTCTTCCCTCTCAAAATAAGGAACTATAACAATCTGCCTTCTCATGCTTTGCTTCTTCAATCTCCTAGCATGCTCTAATTGCTTTCTCCAATGACAATCTCTAACATCCTGTGAAAAAAAACTTTACTGAAATTTTAGGTTAGTTTTGCCATACCCAACCCTTTGTTATTATCCTGTTTGTTATTTGGAAGAGAGTCCTCTACTCACTACTGAGTGCTCTTTTTTTCCTTCTAAATGTCAATCTCTCTGACCTCAGTCCATGATTTGTCATTATGCCCCTCAGGAGACTTCAGATTTCATGAACAAGTCTCAATTGATCCTTAGCCTTCCTTCCACCCACTCAATACCTAATTTGTCCTTCAGCATAGATCAGCTCTGTTCTCTCCAAAATAGTCATTTACCAGCACAGGTTCTCATTCAGTGCTAGTCCACCTTTTTTAATAGCCAAGTTCCTTCTATAATGCTTCAACTATGCCCAGCACTCATTCCTCTAAGCAGAACTGGGATCCAGCCTGTGCAGACACAAACTTAAAGATTCTTCTTCATAAAGACTACACAGTAAATATAACCAAGGCAAATGACCACCATAAACCAAAGAAGGGAAAAACA